CTGTGCTTCGCAGCAGCGGTCTACTGTCTTAGGGGACCTAACCGAGACGGCGACACCAGGCCTGCAATGGGATCTGCTGTGGTCACTGCACTCCATGCCGGTGTAGGCCAGGCAGCCGACAGGGTCGTGCCCCTTTGTAGGCAGAGAGCCCAGGCCCTGCGAAGGGCCCCTGCAGCCCTGTGCCTCGGTCTGCTTAGATCAACTTCAGTGGCAGGGATTTATTCCCTCCGCCCAAGCCCCACTTAAGTGGCCTGTGTCCCCAGCCGCTCGGGGCTTTGTTCCGGATAGACGCTAGGCGCAGGGAGTGTGTCCAGCCCACCTCGCGGCCCAGGGCCCCCTAGGCCAACGTTGGGGGGCCCTAGACCGAGGTTGGGGAGAGCAGGGAGTGCAGAAACAGCTCTGTGCGCCCTCTGCAGGACAGGCCGAGACAGGCAGGTCTCGGTGACACCGCGGCCGCTGGCCACGAGCAAAGGTGGGACGGAGCACACAGTACAAGCCCGGCTGGGGCATTAATCCTGCCCTCTCCGCCCCATCGCGCCACAGCTCTACCCGCCGCAGGACCGAGCCCGCCCGAGTCCCAGGCCACCCTGAGACCTCTGGCAGCGCCGTGGTCGCCAGAGGGCGCTCCGGGCCCGGTGTCCTGACCCGGCCAAGCTCTTACTTGGGGGAGACCACCGCAGTCTTCCCCCCCCCCCCCCCCCCCCGGCCATTCCGGAGCTTGAATGGAAGCGTTTACTTCTGGGCAGAGAACACTTGAAAATAATTATTATAGCTGGTTTGTTTTTGGTTTAGTTTTGTCTTTCTGAGACGGGGGTCTCCCTATGCAGCTCAGGCTGGCTTTGAACTCACAGTGTAGCCCAGGCCGGTCTTGAACTCCCAATGATCCTCCTGCCTCAGCCTTCAGCACACTGGAATTACAGGTGTGCGCCACCATGCCTGGCTCTTTGGGAACAATTCTGCCTGTGGTTTCCTGGGCCTTGGGAGAGCTGGAGTCTCAGGAACATAAGCCCAGTGCTGTACACCCCGCAAACACCTCCTGTGCGCCTTCCACTGCGCTGGTGGCCAAGTAAGAGTGGCCCTTCCTCGGGGCCTCCTTGGCCAGCCTGGATGGGACACTTGCAGGGAGGAGCAGGTTGAGACCAGTGCATCAGCCAGGGCTGAGGCACCAAGGTCAGACAACAAGCATGACAGAGGGCACTATGCGAGCCCTGAGGTGCCCCACCAAGTCCCACAAGGGGGACTTGAGAGTGGTGATGTCCTGGAGGAGGGGTCCTGGTCTCACTTGCTTTGCTTGGCTGTGAAGAATGGGCTGGAGAGTCTCGAGTTGGGAGCCGGGGAGCCGAGGCTGTCAGGGACCATGCAGTCAGGAAAGACGGGGACACAGCCAGTGGGAGACAGTGTAGGACCAGACCGGGGCTGAGTGGGCGAGAGGGGACACACGAGCCAAGGATGCCCCCGGTTCCTGATTCGGTAGCCCATTGGTGCTCTTGTCCTCCCTGAGGCTGAGGCAGGAACTGGCGTGGGGAGAGGACAAGTCACGTGCCAGAGGTCATGCGCCCAGGTAGCCTGCGCATCTTGGAACCCAGCTGTCCAAGGGGGACTGTGGGAGGTGGCTCCGTGCATTGCGGTGGAAGTCAGAGGTCTCCCGGATGGGGAGTGTGGAAGGCTGTGGAGGAAACAGAAGCCCAGGAATAGGGAGCAAGGTGGAGGAGGGTGGGAGGAAGTAGAGTTGAGGGTGAGAAGTCCGCTCCGGGTGAAGAGCTGAAGAGTGTAGAATGCAGCAGAGCAGAACCTCAGGCCAGGAGGGGACAGGTGGGGTGGGGGGAAGCTGCACAGGCCACCGCGCTGGGTCTACAGCTCGTAAGAGTCCTTGTTATGCCAAGCAACTACATCAAACCGAAGTGGGGCCGTCTTCCCAGACAGCACGGCTCTCCCAGAAGGGCAGTTGGCAAATAGACCCCCGTGCTGAGTACTGAATCCAGGGCTTTCCACAAGCTGGGCAAGTGTTCTGCCTCTGCGCCACATCCCCGGCCCCTATGCTTCAGATTCAAAGCATGTAAATATACACTATATACTGTTTCAAAACTAAAAATGTGTTTTTTTTTACAACAGACTACTTATAGACTCAGTATGATCATAAAGCACTCATGTGAGGGTTCTTCTTCTTCTTCTTCTTCTTCTTCTTCTTCTTCTTCTTCTTTATTTATGTCTTTCTGAGACAGGGTCTTGCTATGCAGCTCAGGCTGGCCTTAAGCTCACTGTGTAGCCCACGTTGGTCTCGAACTCTCAATGATTCTCCTGCCTCAGCCTCCAGCATACTGAGATTACAGGTGTGTGTCACCATGTCCAGCTTGAGGGTTTCTTTCGATTGTTTTTGTTTGTTTGTGTTTGTTTGTTTTTGTTTTTTGAGACAAGATCTCTGCAGTTCAGGCTGACCTTAAACTCATTTTATAGTCCAAGCTGGCCTCGAACACTAAGGGTCCCTCCTGCCTCAGCCTCCCAAGTGCTAGGATTACAAGGGAATACCACTATGTCCAGATTTGAGAGTTTCTTTTGAAGACAGACCTGTTTTTTGTTTTTGTTTTAATTAAAGTCACTTTTCTAAGAAAACACTAGTACCCTCAGCCCTTCTCACCCCATCCCCCGCCCCCTGCCGCCCCAACTCCCAGTCGTGACTAGAGGTGGTTGTTGCAATTAGACCTCCAGGGCAGCAGGTGGCGATGTAGACACCGCTCGCACGTTACTCAACATCCTTTCTCCCGGCAATGGCGGGTGATGATGAGGCCTCTCTCGGCAGGGTTGGCCATCGTAAAGCCTGAAGTCAGGGGTAGACCAGTGTCCCCAGCGCGCGGGAGTTCGGACCTCGAGGAAGGTTACAGAAGACAAGGGCACTTTTTGGTGCTCTTCAGCGCGGCCTAGAGCGACGGCAGCAGTAGAAAAGACACAGGCCGGGAACGAAGTCCCGCGCGCCGTCAGGCGGAGCGGCGGGCAGCCCTGGGGAGGTCGGGGTCCTACCCCAGGAGGAGCCGCCGGCTAGAGCAGGCGACTGACTGAGCTGCGCTCCCGGGAAACGCGGCGGCGCAGCGAAGCTAGCGGGGCCTGGACTGACAGATAAGTGGCGCAGCCGGGTCGGCGAGCGAGCGGACTGGCGAGTGCGGGGCGCAGTCATGATCACCTCAGCCGGTGAGCGCCCCGGGAGCCCGCACCCGAGGGGAGGCGCGGCCGCCGCGCCGGCTTTTAGCTGAGTCAGGGCGGGTGACTAGAGCAGCTCCGGGCGGAGCGCCGGCCTGCGCGGCCCCCGCCACCCGGCTCAGGCCCCGGGATGTGGTTGGGGCGGTGGGGCCCCGCGCCCCCTCGGCTCGGAGGCGTCGGACCGTGTCGGCCACAGCTGCCTCCCTCGGCTCACCACACCCCCATGCCGGCCGGACCCTGAGGGCTTTCCGTTTCTTCTGCCTTTGTCGTTCGTGGCCGTGTGGGACCGCTGGACCCCAGCCCTCGTCCCCAGATGATGGCATGGGCTGGGGCCCTGCTCGGCCGCCGGGCTCCCCGCGAAGCGCTTCGGGACCTGGCCTAGCTCCGGCCTCCTTGTAGCGAAATCCGAGGCAGGTCGTTTCTGGGTCCACTCCGAGTGTGTTCGGTTAAATCACCCAGAGAACTTGTGTGTTCGGTGAAAACAGCATCGTCCTGACAGCCAGCTTCCCCTCTTGGAGTTAGGTGCGCAGTTGTTTGCATCCACGAAAGAGATTGAGGAGGGTCTGCAGGTCAGGTTTAGTAGAAGTAAACCGTTGCGTAAGGGGATAGATGAAGTGACCTTTGAGATGGGATAAGTTACAAAGATCGCCTTTTTGGTTTTGGGTTCTTGAGACAGGGTCTCACTATGTACAGGCTGGCCTCGAACTCGTGTGATCGACCTGTCACAGCCTCCTGAGTGCCACTGGAATTATAGGGATGTGTGGTGACACCATAGAGTTAAACTTTTGGGTTTTTTGAGACAGGGGCTTGCTGTGTGGGTTAGGCTGGCCTTGAGGTAACTATGAAGCCAGGAAGGCCTTGAACTCTTGGCCATCCTCCTGCTTCAGCCTCCCAAGCGCAGTGATCATAAGCGTGTGGCACCACACCCAGTGTAGAGATCAGCTTTTCATGAAATTTTTAAACTCTACTACAGACAGATGTATGTGAATCTGTTCACAACTTTGGTGTGTTCTTCCTTGCCTGCATACATATCCTTTCTTCTTTTTTACTCTATACTTTGTCTCATAAATATTTTGTTGCAGGCAAAATGGTTGTTAGAAGCTACTAATCTGTATGGTAGGACACTCCAAAACCATATTTTTGTGAGGTTTGGGCAAGGAAATTGGTAGAAATGCTGGGAAACAATGATAGTTATTTTCAAACACTTAAAAGGTTGTTACCTAAACCTCGAATTAGACTTTTGTCCTTGTGGGATACAAATGATTGAGAGATGGATTTCAATAGAAGGAAGAGCTTTTCCAGTTAGTAGGCTCCAGGAGTAAACATTAAATTTCTTTCCACCTATAAATTCAGGCCTCATTCTATTTTTAGATCTACTTCTTACAGCTGTTTTCTTCTTTGGCCCAAAACCACCATCATCTCTTGCCCAAATTACTATAACACGCTTAAGACTTTGTTTATCCAACCATACTGCATTTGAAAAATCTTTTTTTTTTGTTGTTGTTTTTTAAAGCATTAGTCACAGAATATTCCTTTGTACAGAATCATTCACTGCTTTCATTGTAATTAGAATAAATTCCAAATTCTTAACCCAGATGTTTATGTGAGCCCATTGCTGCTTCATCCTCTTAGCACTGTTTTTGACTCACTGCATCACAGTCCCAGGCCTTCTTTTGTTCATTTTCTCTCCTGAAGAGCCCGTACTCATTGTGCTCATTTTCTGAGCTTTGTTTTCTCAGTTTCTTATCTTTTATTCTTAACTCAAGTGTTAGTGTTAAATGACCACTCTATTAAAACATACTGGCTGTACCCTCTGGCTGCCACTTCTCTTGGGCACTATTGTGTAGTGATCTCTCTTGCTTGCCTAATCACTGTCTTTTCATCCCTCTGGTAGAATTCTGGACAGAAAACTTGTTTTCACAAGTCTTAGAACTTTGTTGAGTGCATGGCAGAAATTCAGAAGTATGTCTTGAATGAAAATAAATCAGTCAACTAGTCAAATCAGTACATCAGTCCTGAACTCTTAAGTGGAGGCTGAAAAAGCTTTGCTAGAAATATGTAGAATTCCCCTCTTTAGAGAGGTAGGACTGATGATTTTTGAGATTGTACTCTGATATTGTGATAAATACATAGTACATATTTATTATCATCATTTGTTAAATTTGTTGGTTCATTTGTCTGCTTTTGTTCCAAACCTTTTGTTACTTTGCTTCCTATCCTATGTAACTCCTCTTGGCTTAGGATCTGTCCCAGGTGCTAAACAGGCTAGTGGCTAGGTTCTAGCGTCTGTGTCAGTTTATTGATTTATTCCCTAGACACTTGGTAGGCACAAGAAAGAGTGAAGAAAGAGGTAAGAGATCAGTATATACTTTTATGTTCTTCAAGAGGTTTGAGGAGCCGGAGAGATAGCTCAGTAGAATAAGTGCAAGGGCCTGAGTTCAATCCCCGGTTCCGCCAAAAAAAAAAAAAAAAAGAGGTTTGACTATGAAAGGAAGTGAAGACGTGCTTGCTTACTTGGAGGGAGACATAAAATTGAGTTAGATTTGGTATAGGCATGTGGGGACCAAGAGGGCTGAAAAGCTTAAAAATAATAGTTTTCTACCCCTCTTCCCTTCCTGCTCCCCCAAAACAAATCTTTTTTTTTATTTTTCCGGTACTGGGTATTGAATTCAGGACCCTGTGTTTGGTAGGCAGGTGTTTATTCTATTGAGCTATCTTCCCAGCACCCATTTTTTTTTTCTTTCTTTCTTTTTTGTCTTTTTGAGACAGGGTCTCATTATGCAGTTCAGGCTGGCCTTGAATTGACTTTGTAGCCCAGGCTGATCTTGAACTCACAATGATCCTCTTGCGTCAGCCTCCCAAGTGCTGGTATTACAGACATGCACCACCACACCTGGCTCAAAGCAGCCATTTTCTTTTCTTTTCTTTTTTTGGCAGAACTGGGGATTGAACTCAGGCCCTTGCACTTGCCAGGCAAGTGCTTATTCTACTGAGCTATCTCCCTGGCCCCCAAAACAGCCATTTTCAATATGTAAAGTTGTGTCTTGTGGAATGTACCTTTGTACTGAGGGATAATATCCAAATATTGCTATAAATTGGCTTAATAATTTTAGATACTATCGAGTTCTTATTATGGCATAAGAGACTTTTAGCATCATTAAACCTTTCCCATTCCCTCTTCCATCCAAAAGAGGGTTCTGTATTTGTTCTTTCATTTATTCCTTCATTCATTCTCGCTCAGGTTGGCCTTGAGCTCACTCTGTAATCCAGGCTGGCCTCAAGCTTGTGATCCTCTTGCCCTGGCCTCCCAACTGGAATAACAGTTGTAGGTACCAGGCCCCACTTCTGTTGTCTTTGAGATGTGAAATATTAGTGTATGGAGTGTACACTAATATTTAGTTCTGTTCAGTGTCCAAAGACTGAGTTTCTAGGACAACTGTGTAACAAATTAGCCACAAGTAGAACTAAACAGAAGAGTATAAAAACATGTATGAGGCACAAGGATCACAAGTTCAAGGCCAGCCTCTATAATTTAGCAAGATACTATGTCAGAAGATAAAAAGGACCTGGGATAGAGTTCACTGGCAGTGCATTTGCCTCACGTGCACAGGGACCTGGGTTCAATCTTTAGTACTGCCAAAAAAAAGCCGTTCAGGTGTACCATTGATTGATGATAGGATATCCATGACCTTTTCAGTAGTAAATGATCTGCTATTCTAACTTACCATCTCTTCTACATTACTGGCCCCCTTCCCTCATTCATTTATTAATTTATCCCTTCTGCATTCTTTCTATTCAACTTCTCTGTTCTGGGCATGTTATACCAACCTAGAGTACCCTTTTGCTTTTATATATATATATTTTTTT